CAGGCGACGTGCGCGGGGCGCCCAAGGTATTTGACCTCCAATAAATCCATGGTTTATGGTGTTCCAACCATGCCATACCAAGGATGAGGTCATACTTTGCTTCCAAGTCTAACACTAGACAGCGTTCCACGCTATCAAAGTCAAGAAACTAGTCCGCCGAGGTTCACAGGGTCCCTCGGCACAGTGACACAAATCCCCGTCGCAAAATGAACAATGACGGTGTCACTCAACCGCGCTTCCAGCGCCTCAGCATACAGCTGACTTCCTTTGATCGTCGAGCATCATGAATAATTGCCCGACACACCAGAATCGATAAGGATTTTCCATGGCTTATCATAGCTCTTCACGGTCGCTTTTACGACAGCAAGCCCGGCTTGCACACACGTTCCGTGTTCAAGAATACGGCGCTATTCGGGGCTGAGCCCTGCTACCCTCTATCTCTTTGAGGCACAACAGAACTCAGTTCTTCGTCAGTAGGGCCTCCCGCGCCTACTGAGTTTTCTCGTTTTCCCGCGTCAAACCAGATTGGTTAGAATGGGACGTCGATTCGACGAACCTTTACGCGCCATACGCAAGGGACAACCCATCCGAAGGTGACGGGTATCTCCACAGACAAAACACCGTCAGCGTTTTCACGCTGCTCAGCAGCTCGGAGCTCTCCCTCCTCCTTGCAGCATAGCTGGGATCCATTGACTCAGGCCCGCTTGACGAGCTCTAAGGTTGTGCATTCCAGCCAAAACTGCCGACTTTAAGTTGAATTCGGCATTCAATGCCACGATCACCGCTTCTTCAAAAGAAGACGGATGCACACTAAAGACTTCCATTCTAGCCACTCCAGTGCGGACGCCCTCCATAAAGACGGTCACTGCGACCGCCTCGGGGGGGGATCTGCTGTCACCCCGGCAATGAATGTTCTTAACCCTTATACAATATCCACCAACTCTATTCCCTGTCGGCAGCAAAGAAAGCGCCATATGCCTGATTAGGCGGCAAGAACACTCGCAAAAACTGCAGCTTCAGCTACTTCCAGGAGGGGGACGCAGCTTCAACAAAAGCACCGCACGTTGATGCCCATTCTCGTGCTCAGCCTCCGAGCTTGCAGATAGCTAGTGCCACGCGCTGTTGCTCGTTTTGGAGCATGGCGGATGCCACAGTCATCTCGGTATCTCTTATCCAGAGGAGGAGATTCTCTCTATCCTTACCCTCGAAGATCTTGACGCTTACCACGAGCGACCTGGGTCGAAAGGAATCATCCGTCGTCGACGCTGACAGCTTCTGCACTTATGACCTCGGACCCTTGCGCAACGAGGTGCTCCACACCCTCAGGGCCCAGCGGGGACATCAGCTTATTAAGGCCGTCCTGCATGCCCTGGGGCAAATAGGAGTATTTCTCTATCTCACAGAGGATCAGTCGTAACGACTCAGGCGTAGATTGACAACGAGTGCTGTCAAGTGAAGCGGGGCTACCGTAGCTCTTGAAACCTAAGCCGACCTTACATTTTATAGCTCTTTGAAGCTAAGCTAAGGTCACCGAACTTACGTTCTTTTCAAGAATCAGTGCGAGGGTAGCGGATTGCGATCCGCTACCTCTATATAACTGAAAAAGCTTAACCAAGGCAATCGAATACTTCTTTTCAAAATTAAAACTGTATTTAATTGCTTTAGTTGCGGCAGACCAGCCAGAATCTCAAACCCTAGGTTTTTCTAATTCATTTAGTAATACCTTATTCATTTAGTAAATCCTAATTAATATAGTAATATGCTTTACTACTGGCAATCCTGCCACGTGGTTGCTTCTTGTTATGGTGTAGCCATACCACTGTGTGATTACACTAACTTGTGTAATACACACCTATGTACGGTTGCACAATCCTGTGCGACCCGCCTTTTCATACAAGTGGACGTGAATCCCCCGTTACACATTTCCCTAATCCCATCGACACCCAATTTGTTGTGTTAAGTAATTCGTACTTTTGTTTGTCGGCCCTTCAAACAAATCACAGTAGTAACATATGGCTAAATTTGAGCAGCCCGTACTACAGAAATGACCCCTTATAGCTTACAACAGCTTATCATGCTTGGAATACCTTGTCGTCGATAACGATTAAGTCACAGACTAGAATATTGACGAGTGTCAACGAATCAAGCCCTCGTTGCATGTGTCGCGTGAAACGTTGTACGTATTGTGATCTTGTGTACTTACACCTTACCCTTTTGAGCTTTCAGATATAATATTGTACGCAATTTACGCTAAACCTTGATGTGATTGTAAACAGGATTAATACGGAAGCTGCCAATAAGTAGATGATGAAATTTGGGAAAGGGGGTCCATGATATACGTGAGCTGCTGACCGCACGTCAAATGATAGACGTTCTAGTATGAAAAATCTTTCGGGTATGTCTTTATGAAGCTATTGATTCTGAATATATGTACTTTCATAATGGCAGAGTTAACGAGAAATCTAGTCACGGTAGAGGCTCTTGGTTTTACTTCTTGGTGAAGCGCAAGAACTCAACCTCTGCGCGTTTGTTAACGCCGCATCTTTGAGTCGCAGCTTTTTCTTGTGAAGTGGGCTGCAACTCCGTTACACATGGTATCACTGGTAGTCTGACTTTTCAAGCTCTTTGGCTTTAAAGCATTCAGCAGGGCAACAAATGTTGTGTCTAATCCTTACGCTATACGTATCACCTCATCAATTGACGACATCACCGTTGTGACATGCAGTTTATAGTCACGGCGACGCAAAAGCGCATCCGACTCCACATCAGGCAGACCCGACTTGTGTATCACCTCAAAGATACACTCGGCAAAGAAGATAAATCAAACTTTAAGCCAAGCAGGAACACCCTCAACTCGACAAGGGGGCTCTACATTGCAAGTAGCTCCTTAAAATGAACATGGCAGGTCTTCGTAGTAGCTTTGTGTTGGTGAGACACAAACGCGATCACAATGTAATGACCTCTGGCATCTACTTGGAGAAAAGCGCAACCAACTACAAAGGCTGGAGCGTCACGGAGGACGTGGAATGGCCGATCTGGAATCGATTGAGCAAAATTCGGACACACACTAAAAAAATTTTATTACAGGCTTGAAAGCGGCTCGCTTGCCGCACCCCAACACCATTTAACATCGTTCTTCGACAGTAGGTGAGAGTCGCGTCATGTCGACGTAGCTTTCGCTGAACTTCTTCTAGTAGTTGG